AAAAAAAAAAAAAAAATGGTTAATGTTTAATCGAAAAATGTAAATTTTAGACGGAATTGTTGAAAATGTAATAAATCTTGAAGTCTGTCTGTAAAATCATTATGGTAATTTATCAAAAAATAACTTTCATACCATAGTGTGTTTTCTCTTGAAGATAGCTACAAAGTACGTAAAAATGGATGTCCAAATTTATATAGGAAATTATTTCATTGTATAATTTACGATCATGATCCAAAAACTTTAAATTTTGTTAGCCATTATTGTGGGTTAGCAAGCTCTAATATCGAATTTAGCTTTTAAAATCAAATCTGGACTAATATATATATATATATGCATAATCATAAACGGTAAAACACAAGTAAAATCATATATATGTACTAATTTGGAGAATTTTGTTATATATTGCTTATCTATGGAGGAGAGATTTTCATGTCTTGTGGCAACATAAATCATTTATTCACTTTTACTCTCAATATAAATATAACAGATATCAATGAAATAAAATATTGTTCGAGAGATTCTACGATCTCGTTACGGAATCATTCCGTCGGGATTTGTAACCGTTAGGTCAACTATACACGACAGTTAAATGATGATCTAACGGTTCTAAATCCCGACTAAATGATTCTGTAACGGAACTGTAGCATTTTCCATATTTTGTTCTTGGTATAGCATGTTGTCAACATTTGAAAATTTGAAAAATAAAATAAAACATTGTTCTTCAAAGAAAAAAAAAAAGAAAACAAGAAAAAAAAATACATAAAATTCAAATCCCAACTAATTATTTTTATTCAAATTTTCAACTAGACTATGTTAATTTTGTACCTGGTATAGCATGTACACGTCCTTCATATGAGTAGCTTTTGGGATATGATAGATTTATTTATAGAGTAAACTCAAAATTTACAAGTGGAAATTTTTAGGGAAAGATAATGGAATGCCCAACAATTTATCTATATATCTTTGGTCATTTTAACAGTCTTGCCTTAATTAAATTTCATGTCGTAATGCAAATATTATACTATGTGATGAGGGTTCAAC